CCAGTTTATATAATTGAGAGTAAGACTTTTTAAAATGAAATATTGACAACTCCTAGTTCTCCAATTTTATATGTTGTTCTACAAATTGAATAATAATGTTATAAGAAAAAAAACACATTTATTAATTCCTTTTAGTGATCATACATTGACCTATGAAATGTTTTAAAAATTATGTTTAAAGACATGTTTCTAGAAGTCTTACCATGAGCTGTGTAGTTTGTACAGTTAACTGGCTCTTGCGTAGCATCATTTATTTTGGGATCTTTACAAATATATGTAAAAAAAAAGTTAAGGAAATATGGACTACATTTCAACACAAAGCATTATCATGTCTTTAATATCTCATATTATACACTCATGTTGATATTAGTATATAAAGAGAGGCTGCTAGTTTGTCCAAGTCAAGCATAAGTACAAATATACTTTTAGTGTTGCTAAATAATACTTGAACATTAACTTATTATAAAAGTATATTAACACATATTAAAAGCTCTAGCAGAGGATGCCATACTTAAAGAACATCAGGGTATAAACTCAAAGCAAGAATCAAAATAAAAATCTTTACCAAATTATTTTAAGAGGGCTTCAGGTTAAAAACAAATCAGCTTCCAGAGATTTGAACTGAATTAATTTATGGGGCCCCTAGCATTATCATATACATAATTTCATGTAACACAAACAACCTTGTGAGGTAGATCCCATTATCCCCACATTACAGAAGCACAAACTGAGGCTCAAAGTTTGAGTGGCTTATCCAAAGTCATATAAATGACAAGTAGTAAATTGAAGTTTCCTGATTGCATGCCTAGAACACTTTCCAACAGAGTGCAGGGAACATGGTTGTTTTCTGTGTGGTCACCCAACAGGAATTTAAGTTTTTGAAAACAGGCATAATAATCTTCATCTAAAAGACGTTCAAAACACTTGATGGGGGGCTTTCAGTCTGCTAAATCTTACTGTTGACATTAAAATGGGGTAGGTATGGTATTTATAAGATGTCTCTGGAGACAGCCTGATCCCTGTTTAAGGATTTTGAATTACTTGTTGGAAACCCTATCTTTACGCCAGGGATAACAGACATTTTCCAGTTGTCATCACCTCATAGTCCTATATACCCAGTCATTTCTCCCTAGGGTTCAACTCTACATACTGCTCAATTATTTTCTTATAATCACCCTGAAATTTTTTCCAAGAAAAAGATTCAGTTTACTAGGTCAGTGATTCTCAAACTCCACACACAATGATATTCAGCAAGTCAGAGTAATTCTGTAAAAATCTAATAAAGACTGTATCTCCCCAACTCAACTAAAAATACTACAGAATTTTCTTAATTTTATGATTTTCTCTCATAGACTCTTTCGTATACCTCTGGCTTCTGGTATTAGTTTTGTTTGGTTTTTTTCTGTCCTACGATGTTTATAAAACAGCATCAAATTTTTTCCAAAAGTATCTATTTTAGTTTCAATCTAACTCATATTTTATCTTGTTCCTTTATCACGAAACTGTGTTATGAGATCCACTTAACCCTTCAGCCTCAGTTTTCTCATCTGTAAATAAAGAGCTAATACATACAGTCCCTACTATGCCAGGCACCGTTCTAAGTGTTTTACCTATACTTACTTAAATATGCCAACAGACCTTTAAGTTGGTGGCACTGGTATCCAAATTTTTATTCCAGAGAAAAGAGTTCCAGTAATTTGTTAAAGGTTACAAAGTGCAGCAGGAATTCCTCCCTCCAGGATAGAATCTCACTGAGTTTGAGGATGACAAGGTAATATATATAAAGTTAATGATAAATGGGCAACACACCCTGGCTAGATTGTTATTAATTACTTATTTGTCTCCTCCCAAATCGGCAAATTTTTCCACGGCGGAGTCTGTAAATCTATGTATTACTAGTACCTAGAACAGGGCCTGGCATAATTGAGGATCTAAATGTTTGTTGAATAGATAAGCACATTGGCAAAAGAAAAAAAAAAACAGGTGGATCAGAAGACGGAGTGCCAACGACTAGTAAAATCCTAAAGCAATCACACAGGGTAGCCTCTATCCCTACCATCCCCACACCTCTCTTCACCTCCAGGGGGCCCTCAGTCACTAAAGGCCACAGGTCATCGTTTCCTTCAGTACAGCCCTAGCCCGTGATGAGGGCCGCGACCCACTTGCGACCCCAACTCTACCTCGCCTCCATGGGAGAATGCTCCCCACAGAGGATATTGTCCCACTTTGAGGTCCTCACACTTAAGCAACTCCTCGCCCCCGGCGGCGGCTGTGGCGGCAGCCCCCCAAGGTCCCATGGTGACTGAGATGAGCCACAGGACACCGAGAAACTGGGCGGCCACAGCCCCCAGTGGAGCCAGCCCGGAGGACCAGGCGGCCGCCATGTTGGAGACCGGCGCGTCCCCCACAACTTCCGGTTCCGCCTCCTCTAAGGCGCGGGCGGGAGAAGGGCCCAGGGAGGGTGTCTCTTAAAGGAACCACGCTGCAGATAGAGGCCAGTTCGGTCACCTGGCTCGTTCTCTTCCTTGAGAGCCTGTGGAATCACCTGGGAGACCTTTTTTAAAAAATCCACGTTCCCGGTCTCTCGCCCGGGGCGAATTTCCCCACCAACCCTTGGAAGGAGCTAAGGCTGGTCTCTGAGTGCTGGAATTAGGAAAGGACTGGTTTAGGGAATCGGCTGCCTCCACGGCTCCTCTCTGCCGCGCTAACTGTGCTGCGGCTTTGCCATCCTCCAGAAGGGCCAACGGCTCCCGGCGTTGGGATAAACTCTTTGCGTGCATTATTTCTGTCCTGATGGGATGAGGGTTTACGGATAAGGACCAGGCTCGAAGACGCTGAAAGCACTTAGTGACTAAGTGACTCAGTTGGAATAAAATTGATGTTTGCCACATTTCAGAATCTGTGCTCTTACTAATTATGAGAGAAAGTCTCCACGTTACCTTAGAGGATCTGTGGAAGGCTGCCACGAAAAGAACCTAAGAACTCTGTATCACAAAGAGAGACATCACACCATTTTAAAAATAAAATTCTTTCAAGAAATAATTTTTATCTGCTTATTTTTAAAAGAGGGCTCAATATGTTTCTATTTTTTGTAGAGATGTGGTCTTTCTCTTGCTCAGGCTGGTCTCCAATTCTTGGGCTCAAGCAATCTTCCCACTTCGGCCTCCCAAAGTGCCAGGATTAGTTATCAGCCATGGCGCCCTGCTAAAATTTTCTTAACAAACCTATTTTGCAGCATTACTCTGCTATATTTAACTTAAAACATTTATGCATAATATTTATGCTTTAAATCAGATTTAAATGATAATTTGAAATTTACTAGTTCAGGGGGGAGGGGAAGGAGGAGATGGGTGAAAACTTACCTAACCGGTACAATGAACACTATCCAGGTGATGGGCACGCTTATAACCCTGACTCAAGCATTACAAAATAGGGATCCTTGTAACCAAAAACATTTGTACCCGCTAAATACTTTGAATTAAAAAAAAAGAAATTTACTAGTTCAAGTTAAACTCCTTATTTTAAATGGACTTTTTCCTTCTCTTTCATTTTTTTCCTTCCTTTTTTCTTTTCTCTCTTTTCCTCCCTCTCTCCCCCCAAGAAATATTTATTAAGCATTTACTATATACTCAGCATGAGGCTAAATCTTAGACTCAAAAAATAGAAAGACAAGAACCAGCAATTAAACACTTCATGTTTGGTAGGAGAAAAGACAATTAACATACTATTTGATAACTGTTGTAACAGAAGCACATACTAGCTACTAAAGTAGGACAAGGGTTTTGATTAAGATATTCCCCAAAACAGTACTTGAAACATCATATTTTGTCACTAGCATCAAAATAATTAAAAATCCAGGCCAAACTGAATCAGCAGAGACATAACTTCATAGGATACATGACTACCTAAAAATGTAGTCCAGAAAACTAACCATTAAACTTTTTTTTTTTTTTTTTTTGAGACAGAGTCTCACTCTGGTGCCCGGGCTAGAGTGCCGTGGCATCAGCCTAGCTCACAGCAACCTCAAACTCCCAGGCTCAAGCGATCCTTCCGCCTCAGCCTCCCGAGTAGCTGGGACTACAGGCATGCACCACCATGCCCGGCTAATTTTTTCTATTTTTAGTTGTTTGGCTAATTTCTTTCTATTTATAGTAGAGACGGAACTCCTGAGCTCAAGCGATCCTCCTGCCTTGGCCTCTCAGAGTGCTAGGATTACAGGCGTGAGCCACCATGCCCGGCCTCTAACCATTAAACTTTAAGTTAATAAAACCCCAGTAAAGTATACAATACACAGCTCTAAACCATCCCTCAGCCTAATCCTGAGATGAAATTTAGGAAACAGTTAGTAGTCAAGGATTAGGTAAAATCTGTCAAAAGAAAATTACTATAATTTTAGTTATAGATCTAATTGGCTTTTAGTCACAATTCAAGAATCTGGGCAGCCTCCATTCTATACACTAGAATTAAAGTTCCCACTGGGCAATAGAACAATGGTTTTGTAAGGTGGAAACAAGAAAACAATAGAAAAATAAGTGATTGGTTAACATTAGGTTACTTCAGGTTACTTTTTTGTAAGCAGAGGGGACTTCCTTATACTGACTCAAGTAGACTGGAATCTTCCATACTCAGGAAAAACTGGTCTGTTTTTGGATCTATCTGCTTCCTTAAAATTTCAGTTGATGTGGCATTTAGCATGAGTGACTCCCTTTCAGTTTGGTCTGGTCTGTTGAGGCCTGGTGCAGGAGCTCAGTTTAAAAGAATGACCTCCCATAATTTTTGCTTAACAAATCCAAGGATAAGGATCAGAATGTCTGTTACACATGTGACCTGGTAATAAAAAACATTAACTTTGCATTTTGACCACCATTTTTACTTTCAGATTGTTCTAGTTTGATTTTTAAAATACAATCTTAAGAAAATCGGATGGTTAAAGGATGTAACTTTCTAGTTACAAAATTAGATATTTTCCTGCTGACCATAAGAATATTGCTGATCTTCGTATTTGTATAATTTTCCACATTGATTGTGAATTAAAAAAAAATTTTTTTACTGTAGATAGAATAGCTGGAAATCCACATAGATTTTGGACAATCAACTATTTGAAAATGCTTACTCTTTGCTGTTAATATCATTACAAAATCTATTTTTGTGGTTCCGGTCTTTATACTCTCCTACAATATAGAAACTAAAAAGAATAAAAATGTTTGTTTCCTCATGAAAGTAAAGAAGCAATACCAAACTTTTGACCCTTGAACTGACAATGTGTTAAAAAATTCACTTTCTCTTCTTACTGCCCCTTAATCTATTTTCTCATGGCTCCATAAAATACATTGCACTATTTCTTTTTAAAGACAGTCTCTAATGACATGATTACTACATCGTCTAAATTTAGTAAGAACTTACATCTCAATGTTTTCAATGCCAAATTCGTCGCATAAAAATTCTACAGAAAGAAAGGATATGATTAGTACAACCCAAGGTGGAAATTGTTGTACAGAAATATTAGGAAAGAGGATTACCAGTGAAGCCTGAAGCATATCTTCCTCTGGGATTCAAGGGCTCTATACACTGGATCTTTTCATTCCTAAGATTTTCACATACACCTAATTACATTAACAGATATTTCTGCCCCATAGCAAAACTTTCTAAGGAAATCAACCTAATTCCTGTTTCCCCAGTTAGAACAGAAATATTAAGAAATAAAACATTGTTCCTCTCTAATCTTCCTTTCTTACTTGATTATGATGGGCAGTATTTTTCTTTGGTGATAAATTCATAACATAAGGGCTCTGCTAGATCTTCATTACACCCTCTGCACATTCGGAATTTGACTATATTCATGCTGTTAACTCCCAAGTATTTCTGATCGTGTCCTCCCTTTAGTGCACTGGTCTAATTAAATTAAGCTTGATTCAGCACTTAATAAGGCCTACTTTTAGATGCCAAGTACATTTCATCTTAAATGTCAAATGGAGGATCTAAAACTGACTTATCAGAGTCCTGCTTCTCCCAAAACAAAACAAAATAAATGAGCTTATCTCAATTTCACTACCAATATCACTTTTATCAGATTCAAAACTTGGAATCATTTTTACCCTTCATTTTTCTCCTTGTTCTCTTTTAATACCTTTAATCTAATCAGTAAGCTACTGATATTTTTAAGTGTTCCCTCTTTTATTTAATCCTATATTTGCACCCTGTTTCAAGTATTCCTCATTCCCTATGTACCTTGCTATGTAGCGACCTCTTAGTTCCTCTATTTTATTCTAGGCTTTCTCCCCAACTTCGTCAATCCATTTTTGTACACTGCTTCCAGATTAATCTTTCATTTAAAAAAAAACCTACAAAATATT